AGGAGAAGGTGGGGGGGGGGGAATGCTATAGCCTGCTTCGAAGGAGGTTGCACAGGAGGAGTCAGAGGAGTGCACTTGAATTGGGTGTTTGTTTTACTTTCGGAAATTGGATGAATTTCAAAAAGATGGGGGAATTCCACCTTTACTCCCTCTGGACTGGAAATTTTCGAAATAGGAGGAGATCCTGAAAAGAAGAGGGGGAAGGAACGTGTGGGGATTCCTCCGCGACGTTATGCTCGGTCTTGTGCCGCTGATCATACTTTACGTACTTCACTGCGAAATGTGAATATTCAGTTCACATAATTGTATAATGATATCAGGTTGTATTGGAATTCTATTGTAACTTGTGGTTTCTAGGAACCGTTCTATCTCAGATTCTATCAATACGGCTATTTTGTAAAAGTGAGACATGTCAGACCAAACAACCTGAATATGAGGCTTTTGGCTTAGACCTTAGTTATTTTAGTTGCTGTCTTGAAATAAGTTAGTTCATATAGGCCGATGTCAGACTTTGCGAATCGCGCGAATCGCTCGTACGTTTCTGGGTCTCCTTCACCGATTTTTCCAGGATGGCAATGTTCGGTAAGCAGCGAACAGTACTTTGTCGATCTCAAAGAGCTGAGGCAGCAGCGACGGGAGCCGCAGCTAAAGTGGTACACTTGCAGCTACTCCTTCTCCGCCCAAAAAAATTGTTACAGTTGTTTAATTTAATATATGCACATACAAATATGTTCTCGCTTTAAAAGTCCATCGAATACCATACATCGTCGGCCCGGCCTCGTCCAACGCCGTCAAGTATTGGAACTACACTGAATCGGCCCTATGTGTGCAGAAGGAAATAAGCCGGGGTGTGTCTGCCATTTTAGTACTTGCTTATTACTTGCACAATAGCACGGTCATTCCATATAACGCATTATGTTTTCTTTCGAATTCTTTCTCTTCTCCAGCTAATGGTTGAAGAGAGGGTGGGTGCAGTGTGCTTGACGCGCCTCTCGCCTGCTCAAATCCACGCATTCCAGCTTTTGATGCATTGGAAGACTACTTTCATCCAACTGCCTCCACCCCAATGTGCGCTTGTCAAGACGAGTTAAGCTAATTCAAGCAAATTAATATACTAGTGGTATTGGAGAATTTTGCCCAAACTTTCGTCATTTCGACCATGGCCTTGGCAATTTGATTTGTTTCATTAATTCGTAGTTAATAGAACACTTACCAAGGGAGGCATTGAACTCCCCGTGGAACTTTGAGTCGAGACCTAGACATATCGATAGAGCCTGGGACAACGGTTAGAACTGCGGAACCCAAAATTGCAAAACGATTCTGCCAAGGAAGTTACGAGCAGTCGAAGTTGGCTGCAAATGAGTGCTTTTGGATGAGGCTCGCTAGTGTCAGATAAACTGTGTTGCCGTGGTGTAGTGGTAAGGCTCTCGCTCATCATCATGCAGGTCATGGGTTCGTTCCCGCTGCGGTTGACGTTTTTGCAAATCATGTTCCGTACCCAGTAGATAGTTCTATTCTAGTTTTAACTTATCCGAGCGAGCACCTTGTCAGAACGTGAAGACCGAGTGACAGATATAGTTGTCGCTATGTTCCTGATGAATATCTTCATTGATAATGCTGCCTTCTCCCGCGAAGGTAGTTTGGATACTTTTCGCAAAATTCGGAGCAAGAACATAACAGTCCCTACAACACGCGAAAAAAAGAAGAATTGCTGCGAGGTTTGCTTTTATGCTGGGTATTATTGCAATAACGAGGATGAAGACAGCTTGGGCAAGGCAAGGCAGACAAGCCCATGGAGTGGTAGAGGTATCAAATTAGCTCTGTTCTTTTAACTGAACGCTGGGTGTAGAAGAAAGTGCGCACGAAGTTACTTCATCTCAACTCACACAACAAACGTCAATGGTATTAGCATAGCTGTGATTAGGTGCTTATTCAAATAAATGTCAGAAACGAGAATAGAACTCTCTACTGGGTACGGAACATGATTTGCAAAAACGTCAACCGCAGCGGGAACCGAACCCATGACCTGCATGATGATGAGCGAGAGCCTTACCACTACACCACGGCAACACAGTTTCTCTGACACTAGCGAGCCTCATCCAAAAGCACTCATTTGCAGCCAACTTCGACTGCTCGTAACTTCCTTGGCAGAATCGTTTTGCAATTTTGGGTTCCGCAGTTCTAACCGTTGTCCCAGGCTCTATCGATATGTCTAGGTCTCGGCTCAAAGTTCCACGGGGAGTTCAATGCCTTCCCTCGTAAGTGCCGTGTTTCAAGTGTGGGACCGAACCATCGCGGTTCAAGCTCAATTACAAAGGATGACGATAAAGGACGTTCCTCAGCTGCTCTCAATCCCACGAAAGGTAGGCTAATCTCCTTCTGTAGATTTCTCTGGGATTCATAGTAATGATATACCTATTGGACCCATTTTTAGGCCAGGAGAGGGCAAGTCCTTCAAGAGCAACACGTCGTCGTTCCTCTAGCGCAGGTCCCCCTATCCGCCGTCCAATCACGCATCCACCACGCGTTACACGTCCAGTACATCCTCCCAGTGTTGCACGAGCCTCAAGTGTGCCTCGCGCAACAAGCGCGCCTCGTGCTACAAGCGTGCCTCGCGCCACAAGTGTGAATCGCCCCGCAAGTGTGACTCGTGTCTCAAATGTGACCGGTCGTCATCTGTAACACGCCCAGCTTCTCGCACTGACAGCATCACCTGTTCCTCCTCAGTCTCAGTAAGCGCTCTTCGTCAGTCTGGAATTCCCAGTGAATCAACACGCACGTCAGGAGCTCCAGTCTCCATAACGGCTTCAGCAAGAGTTCTGCTGTTAGGGTTTTACGAACACCTGGACGACCGCCGGCCCGATGGTCAGACTTCTTCACGAAAGCTCTGAACGAAAGGAATGAAGGACATCGTGTCCCTCGAGCGAGGAGGGTCCACTGGACAACTCTTGCACGCGACAGGGACGAATGGAGACGTTGCTGGCGCCCGCTCGAGCAATTCGATGATCAACGGGACGACAGGTGATACAGGTGATCCCCAGCATTTGAATTTTTTCTTGGGTGGGGGGGGGGGGGGAATGTGGCAGCGGAAAATCGCATGGTTGCCAAGTTAATACTGTGAATTGTGAGTGACTGACAGCTAGATAGCAAGGTAAATCATGGTACCATTAATGAGAGTTTTGTTTCGGGTTGATGTCAGACTTTGCGACCAGCGAACCTCAGTGCGAGCATTGCACCAGATGTAAGAAAAAATGCCTTGGCATTATTTGAAAGTGGCGGGACTCCCTCTGGTTTGTACGTTGGCTCTCGCTACTTTCTCGAGCTCTCGTGCCCTCCCACTCACGCATGCCCTCTTCAGCCCGAAAAATGGCGAGAGTCGATTTCGAATTAAGTCCCGCCGTTTTTAACCCATTCGCGACAATGTCAGCCACCGGTGGCTGACGCGAAGATGTCCACTTCGGACCATGTCAGCCACCGGTGGCTGACGGGCTTTAAATGGAATTTTTGAAAACAAAAGGAGGTCTTGGGAGATTTTCTTGCTGTGAAGAATCTTCATACCCTCATCTATCTAGGCCACCCCTGGGCAAAGGAAATCTCTATCCACTAGAATTTTATTGAAGAAAAAATAACCTGACTTAAAAATTTCACCGAAAAAGTTGAAAAATTTTTTTCCGCTGAAACTTTTCCCATGGGGGTTTTCGAGGGTCCTGATCTCAAATATGATATCCATTTTTGGCGCAATTTGGCGCCAGTTGGCGCCAAGGGTGTCTTCACCAAATTCGCTGTAAACTTGCGTATGGGGGTTATTTGAGGCCCTTGATTACGAATATGACATTCGTTTTAATCGTTAGCGCTATTTAACACCTGTTTCCTGCTCGCCTGCACCTTCTCACTATTGGATCCAATCAGGACTAACAAGGGGGGTCGTTCAGGATGTTGGAAAGCTTTTTCGAAACGGTTTTCTGTATGTTATGGGAGCTCATGCGTAGACTACGAAACCGAGGTATATTTTCGCTGAGCAGCCCCGCGAAGGCCAAAAAAGGTGAGGAAATGGTCCAAGGTTCAATCCCTCATAATGACAAAATTTTTGCATTTAGGTTGGAGCTTCCCAATTTGCTCTAAAAACACCAGGAATAGATATAATGTTCATTATAAAGACCATCAGTAACTAGTGCTTTCAGATTTTCACCATAATGTGGCGGAAAAAAGTTGTTACGCCAGAGGGGCGCCAAATGGCGCCGTAGCGCAAATTGGCGTAGCAAGTGGCGTAAATTTCGGCAATCAAAAAAATGAATGTCATATTCGTAATCAGGGTCTCAAATAACCCCTATATACAAGTTTACATCGAATTTGACGAAATTCAGTCAGGGCGCCATCTGGCGCCAAATGGCGCCAATTTGGCGCCAGCGCCAAAAATGAATCTCATATTCGTAATCAGGGTCTCAAATAACCCCTATATACAAGTTTACATCGAATTTGACGAAATTCAGTCATGGCGCCATCTGGCGCCAGCGCCAAAAATGAATCCCATAATCGTGATCAGGACCCTTGATAACCTCCTGGGATAAGTTTCAGCGTGAACTACGGATGGCATATAGAAAAAACTAAAAAAATACAAGATGGATTTCCCCTGGGACAATGTCAGCCACCGGTGGCTGACATTGCGCAATCGTCTCTGCCGGCGCTGGTCCGAACGGGCAGTCTTCGAAAATCCCGCCCGGTCGCGAGTGGGTTAAACATGTCGAGTCACCGGTACATCGTTCGAACCGCTGGCACGTAGCTCGATTCGCTGACGGAATGCTCGTATCTTGCAATTCGTTTGCGAATCATTGGATTCGCAAAGTCTGACTATGGTCTCAACATGCGTTGTGGGAGGAGCCATTTACAAGGGTATTACTCAGGATGTTTTAGTGATTACCCTTCTTGCTCAGTTCTTTGAATATATACGGAAGGTCGCCATTGTCTACTTTGATTTAACAAAAGCTTTCGATACCGTGTGTAGATCCCGCCTTTTAGGCAAACTTGAAAGCATCGGTGTCCGGGGACAGGCACTTAGGTGGTTCCAGTCCTATTTGGCAGGGTGGAAAATGAGAGTCCGCTTCTCTGATTACGTGTCTACCTCAAGAGAGTGTACTTCAGGAGTTCCTCAGGGAGGTAGCCTCTCGCCACTTCTTTTTCTTATTTACACTTTCGACCTCGTTAGCTATATTAGAATAGATACAAGACTTCAGATCGCAGCCTATGCTGACGATATAAAAATATCTGTTGCTTACGACGAAAATAATAAAGAAAGTGCCCAAAACCTTCTCAATCTAGCCGTAGAGAGAATGGTCAATTGGTGTACCCAATGGGGACTCAATATCAATCGGAGTAAAACCCATCTTCTCACATTAGGGTCGCCTCAAATTGGAAATCTGCTTCCCTGATGGAACTCCAATTAGAAAATGTGACAATACCAAAGACCTCGGAGTGAATCTGTCAAAGAGCCTGAAGTGGAGCGAACACATAGAAATTGTTTCTAAAAAGGGCCTCAGACTAGTCCACATGCTGTTCAGAAATATACATAGTTCCGAGGCTACAGTCTGGATTAAGCTCTATAAAATGTACGTTTTACCCATAATAGAGTACTGTAGCCCCGTTTGGAACCCTTCTTCAGTTGGTGATGTTCAAAAAATAGAACGAATACAGCGGACCTTTACTAGGATTTTATTTTATAGAGTTTTTCCTTCCAGAAATTACCCACAGTCGTTACCAGGGTATCAAGAACGTCTGAAGAAACTGAACTTGAGGTCTCTTTACTATAGACGGATTCAATCAGATCTAATTTTAGCATTCAAGCTTCTGAAAGGTGAACTTCGCATCAAGCCATCGACTTACTGGACGTTTCTGCCCGCATCAGGCCGAAGAGGATCCTTTCGTATTCTTAACCACAAGATGGGCAAGTGGCGTCGTGAACTATGGTTGAACAGCTTCACTGTAAGAACTGCGAAATGGCTGGAAGCTATGCCTTTTCGGCTCCTGGAACTTACTGACTCCAACCAATTTAGAAGAGCCATTAAAAAGATGAATGTTCTCGAGTCACTTGGCATTCCTGATGTTGTTTGATGTTAAGCTAGCGCTCATCCTCATTTTCATTTACTTGTCTATTGCATCACTCGAATAATTGCTCTCCAAATCAGTTCTCCTGTTATGCTCTCGCATACTGCCGAATCTTCCTCACATTGATCCTGTCTGGACTCATACCCACCACATTTATTCAAGATATCTACAGGTTACTTGATGTTCTGATGGAAGTTTTCTCCTTATCGAGTACCAACGGTTTGGTGGCTGGATGGACACTCCGGGCGCATGCATGTAGGTCAGACTTTATACTCTCCTAGCTTACCGTTTCCACGAGGGAGGTCGGTATACCCGTGTTTCGAAGTTGCGGTAAGCTCCTATGACCCCTGCTGTGGCGAGTGGGCACCATAGCCGACTGGTGCAGGTGGGTATCTTGTACTGGCTTACGCGCATGCGCGCTGGAGCGGACACGGCGTCACTGGGCCGTATTGGTCACGGGATGAGCAGTTACACCACCGTCTGAGCAGCAAGAACCTTTCCTCCACGCGTTTGGACACTACCCTAGCTCAATCTCTATATTTTTTGGCATGCCATCAAGTTTCTAAGAATTAGGTTTTTTGTTAGAATCCGTTTCGTTAGTAGTTTTGATTTTTGATCTGCTTAAGTTCACTGTTACTATACAACTATGCTCTGTTTGATCCTCGGCTAGTTCCGATGTATTACAGAAGCGCGTCGGTCGACGCACACTATAAATAAATAAATAAATAAATATTCTCTCTGAAGAAACTGCAGTGTTGTGCATCCATAGAGAAAAATATATTGTAAAAAGCTATTTTAGGGCGCAACTCCATCACAGCACTCCGTGCGCCATAAGGAGAACAAGCGTCCGCAAAAACCTCGGTCATCTGTAATCAAATTTTCTCCCATCCCAACGAGAAACCCGGGCGATGGCACACCGTTGCGTCGTTTCCGCGCGGAACTTCGACGTTATCCCGCCCCCTCGGTACTTGTGCTGTTTCATGTTTACAGATAGAAATGACGTAAAAACAATACTATATAAAATATCTATGTTCTATGTAAACTTGGAATTGTAACAGTAGTTGCTGCTTCTTTATATTTTTCACAACGTGTAAGGTAAAGTACACATTGTGAAAAATATAAAGAAGCAGTAACCACTGTTACATCATCTTGGAAGTAGAATTACAGCTGAGTTATTATAGGGATTATCTCCAGCTCACCGCCCTCCTACAATACCGATGGAAATTAAATTTCGGGTAATATCTAATAATCCAAATGCTGCAAATAAGGTGCAGTGTATCTCGAAAATTCTGACCTGCGATGGGTACGGTGAAGTCCATTGAAATTGTGCTGATGAACACTGTCTCGTATTCAAAGGCCAGAATTTCGAAATCGATTGGGCTGTTTAATTTTTTATTGTTAGTGTAAACTTGAGAGAGGCGTTTCCAGGTTGGTTCAACAACAGACTCTGCGGTATCAGTGTCGACAAAGACCCTTTCGAAAGAGGAAGAACGCGCTTTGGTTACTCGCTTGGCTGCTCCTAAGAAAACTGCCACTACAACCCCAGCTAAGTAATACATGATTGCATTTTTTAAACAGGTTTTCATGCTGACAATCATGTTTCAGGATACCCAACGTCCGGACACACGGACTAAGCTGTGTTAAAGTTCGCACTCGATCCATTTCCACAACGCGACGACCTTCGTCGGCTCTCAGCAGTGGTGCCGCACAAACTGACCCATGATCCAAGAGAATTCATGGTATGCTAAAGCTACCACGTCCAGGCAGGTTTTTGAACTGTTTGATGTCCTCAATATTGTTACAGTCTGTGTTTGTTTTATGTTTTAACTCAACGCTTTATTATATGACTTTGAAAAAACCGTTGGTAGCTGTTAGCCGTATGTTAACCCGTGGTGTACCCACACTGGCAAGTACTACTGCAAAACCAGTGATTAATTTCTTCGCTACCAAATCGTCCTCTAAAAACTCTTCTCGTGCTTTTGATATTACCACTCTTTTTGCTTCATCGGCAACTACACCGGGAAATCCTCTCACATCCGAAACACCACGTACCGCAGAAACTTTGAGTAACAAGAATACTTCGCGCACCACGGCATCTACAGGCACCATACGACAATTTGGCGCGCGACACGCACTGGCTCATACGCAAACGACCAACTTCGCCCCACCAGGACATATCTACAATCCTTCACGAGTCAACTTCCCTCACCGCGACATCCACACCCACCACGGCAGATCCGCGTACAACGACATCGTCAGAAAAACCTTTAGAAGATGTGCCGGTAACATATACCATGAATTTAGAGTTGTGGTTTTCTGATAGTTTTGTTCCAGTTGTTGTAATAGCATGTATTGTATATTATCTGTTGCCCCGCTATTCATAGGATTGAGATTAGGACTCGAGCTAGCTCGAGCAACGTCCCTTCATGTTCCACCTCGTGTGCCAGTAAATCCTGTTTATTGAGCGCAGCGGCTAAGCCAGGGCAACTTACAACATCATGAGGTTAACCGTCAGGCCGACAGTGGCGGTGGTATGAAATCCTGAGGGATCTCGGTAGTACAATAGCTTTTGCCCAGCGGCTACTGCAAAATCGCTGACGTATCCAGTTCACTTGATCTCCAAGGGGGCAGATAATTGCGTAACCCAATAGTTCAACTTCCGTTATCCTGATATGTATGCAGGGTTTACCAGAAACGACCTTTCGCTCATTGCGCACCTCAGCAAAATTTATGTCGAACAGGATGGTGTCGTAGTTGTATCGCCTTAGCAAAATCATCCCGAAATGTATTCCTTGAGCAAGGATAGACCATTCTCCTTGATAGTCTCAGTTTTCAAAATAGGAAATCGTTCACTATCGCCGACGAGCTCATCAAGGCTTATCGCAGCTGCTTCATGCTGAAATACCTGCATAAGTTCGTCGATCGAGTGTTAATGTACGTGTTTCCATGAAATCGAAAAGGAGTTTATTTTGGCATTTTTCACGTTTTAAAACTACACAAATACATTATCGAATTCGCGGAATAATGCGCTAATTACTAATAGTGAAATTGTTGGAGAGTTAATGATTATTGATGAAAAAATTTAGAAAGAAGTGAAGTGACGCATTCATAACGGCGGTCGTCAAAGGGTTAATACTGCCAGCTGGACTGTCGTGGCAACCTTGTGTTCCAGCAGGACTGAGCGCCAGTGCGTGCTGCCTGGAAAACCCTTATTTACCTGCAGTCGAAGAGTGGCATAAGCTAGAAAGACACCATCGAATGCACCGCCTGACCAATTTTTTCATTTACCGAGTTTGGGCGTCTTCAGGAGGACTGTGGATAAAGATAACAAGATCGAGAAACCACTGGGCTCAACCGTCGCACTGTTGTCGCGTTGTACGGGGCAGCCAAGAATGGGCGCGCGAAAAATTTTCAATGTTTTACTCTTCTGTTGTTTCGACAACTGGGCTTTTATACGAACAACAAAGCAAACAATATTTTTCATGCGAAATTGCCACACTCCCTGATCTGAGTCTGCCTACGGCCCCAAGACTAAGCCTATCAGGGGAAGGAAACCCGTAATAAATGAATTGCTTACGCACGCAAGAGTCCTCACTCCTTCAAGTTGAATACTTGCCAAGATGGAGTCATTTTTTTATCAGAACCCCCACTGTGCCCAATTGTTTCTGCGTATATCTCTTAATATAAGGTTCAACGGGAAACTTTCTTTTTAATATGCGCCAGCATGCAAATTACATGAATCGACTGTGTATCACAAGAGGCTCAGTCCGATTACTTTCTCTTTCGTTACTTTCACTGCAATAATCTCAGCGCAGTCATTGTAATGAGATGCAGGGGAAACTCGCTGCAAGGAAGGCAGTGAAGGAGGCACAGCGGGTTGGTATTTGTATTGGATGGGGTGGGTTATGTTGTAATACGCTTTTCTTCCGTTGGAACGATTTTGGGAGAATTCTAGAGAATCTTTTGTCGGGACAGAACAGGTTAATACAGCATTCGCCGAAAACTGGCGGTGTCACTTCATCCTCACTTTATCCCCTTGTTTTAGGCAAAAGGCACTATGCAAAGACCGCTGATTCTAAAGTCGGACGACGTGAAAAATGTCAGTTGGTAGCTTTTTTGCGCAGATGTTACGTTAGCTCATCACCTTTCTTATTCTTTTTGCTGTTTCTAGGACTGCTCGGAGCATCTCGATTCCGGAAAAGGATCAGGGATTTATTTGTTCAGAGGTCAGCAGTTTTCCAATCTGTGTTTCCCGAACATGTTTGTCTGAGGTTCTTTTTTGTGTTGTGCATTTCCTTCTGTGGTTTTAGGCGTGTAAGCGGCGAGGTTTACTTTCACAATCGCACATGGGGTGAGTACGGGGGCCTTCGAATGACTCTTTAACATTATCCTAATGTAATTAGACATGAGATTCTGAGAAATGTCTTGTGCACTACTCGGCATTCGTCACCATGGCGCTTGTGTGGGGTGTAAGCTTATGTGGTGGTGGCTGTTTGCAAGTTGAGTGTTGTAAG